TAATGGTTGCAGGCCTGACAAACAAATATTAGCCTACACAGTCAACGTTTAAACACAAGGTTAAGGTTACTGGAGTAAGAGTCAGGAGAACCCAGTCTGTCAAACTCATATGGTGACTTTGAATAAGGCACCCTCTCTGAACCTTGGTTTTCTGGGCACCACTAACTACCCTATGGACTTCACAAAGGAGTTAGGAGAGTCAAATGAATAGGTTCCTAAATAGCTTTAAAAAATATTAAGCTCTATACAAAACAGAAGCAGTATATTTCCTCTCTAATTCCTAGGGATCTTCATTCTAATACAGGGGTTATTTATTCATTCAGTGACACAGCTTGGGTACTAGGTACTATCATAAATAGTTTACAGAAAAAAGACCTTTGATTTCCCTTAAATCTTATAATTGCTATGGAGGGTAAGGAAAGTGAAAGAAGGTAGTTCAAGTAACTGAAAAAAATGGAATGCTTCCAGAAGAAAGCAGCTAGGAGAGTAAGGGGTCAATAAATCTGTCACATGAGTAATGTCTGAAGGAATGAGTGGGAAATGTTTAGTCTGGAGACGACTAGAGGGGGCAATGATGGATGTTTTCAGAAATATGAAGGGCTGTCACATGCTAGAGAGATTTTTTTCATGGCATAAGGCAGAACAAAAATCAGACTCAAAATAAAAAAAATTACCCACACAATGGAAGTATGTCAGAGGGACACAGGAGCTAACTGAAAAAGCTCCCAATGGCCAAAGCTGGAACAATCTGCGAAACAAAATAAATAAAGTAGTATTTGACTATAACCTGAAGTTTAAAATAAATATTAATGAGTCCACACTGACACAAATAAATGATTGAACAAATAAATAAATGAAAGATAACAGACACATCTCCAGTGCATAAGAATTCCAAATAATTTATGTAGATATCTCATCCTCAAGGTGGTGGCACATAACCCCCCCCCTTAATGTGGGGACTGCCCAAAATGATTTGTTCCAGAGAGTACATTATGGAAATGGGGAAAAAAGTAACTTTACCCTACAGAAGCCTGATAATCACTGCCTCAGCGAGATGATCACAGTCAACATCAACAGTGTTAAGTCATGCTAGCATACCCTTAAAACAATGTGATGAAAAGGCACTTTACCTCTGTGGTCTTCTTTAAAACACATTACCTCAGCCTAAGCATGAGAAAAACATCTGGCAAATCCCAGTTGAGGGACACTGTACAGAATACCTGACCATTAATCCTCAAAACTATCAAGGTCACCAAAAACAAGGAAATCCTGAGAAACTATCACAGTCAAGAAGAGCCTAAGGAGACATGACGACTAAATATAAAGTGGTATCCCGGATGAGATCCTGGAACAAAAAAAAAAAAAGATACCTGCACTCAAATGTTTATTGCAGCACAATTCGCAATTGCAAAGATGTGGAATGAATCCAAGTGCCCACGAATTCATGACTGTATTAATAAAATTTGGTATATAGATACCATGGAGTACTACTCAGCCATTAAAAAGGATGAATTAATGCCTTTTGCAACATTTTTGATGGAACTAGAGACCATTCTTCTAACTGAAATATCTCAAGAATGGAAAAACAATCACATATACTCACTATTAAATTGGAACTAACCAATGAGCATACATGTGCACAGAGGGAAGTAAAATTCACTGGAAATCAAGCAGGGGGTAGGGGGAGAAGAGGAGGATCGATTCTTACCTAATGGGTACAATGAGCACTGTTTGGGTGATGGGCACACCTATAGCCATGACTCAAACATTACAAAAGCGATCCATGTAACCCAAAACATTTTTATGCCTTAATATTTTGAAACAAAAAACAATAATGTATATTTCCACATTGCTAAAAGGTTTTAAATGCTAATAGGTTTTAAATGTTCTCACTACAAAAAAAAATATGTGAAGTGATACATGTGTTAGTTAGCCTTATATAATCATTCTACAATGTATACATACATCAAAACATCACATTGTAGCCCATAAATATATATGATTATTATTTTTCAATTGAAAATAGAAAAAATGTTAAAACCTAGTGAAATTTCCTGTTAAAATACAAAAATCTATTCTAAAATTCATATGAAATCTCAAGGGGCCCTGAATACCTAAAACAATTTTGCAAAGAATGAACAAAGTTTGAGATCTCATACTTTCTGATTTCAAAACTTACTACAAAGTTACCAGTAATCAAAACAGTGTGACACTGGCATAAAGACACATATATAGACCAATGGAATACAAAACCCAGAAATAAACTCTCATATATCTGGTGAAATGATTTTCAACAAGAGTGCCAAGACTATTAGGTGGGGAAAGGACAGTTTTTTCAACAAATGTTGTTGGAAAAACTGGATATCCACATGCAATAAAAAGAAGCTGGACCCTTACCTTATACCATATACAAAAATTAATTGAAAATCCATCAACAACATAAAAATAAGAGCTAAAACTATAAAACTCAGAATAAAACATAGGGGGAACGCTTCATGATTGAATTTGGCAATGATTTCTTGGATATGATACCAAAACTACAGGCAGCAAAAGAAAAAAATGAATAAATTGGATACACCAATATCGAAAACTTCTGTTCATCAAAGGACACTATCAACATAATGAAAAGGCAATGTATGAAATGAGAGAAAATATTTGCAAATCATATATCTCATAAAATATTAATATCCAAAATATATAAAGAACTACTACAACTCAGTAACATAAAAAACAAACAACTTGATTTTTAAAATGAGCAAAGGACTCTAATAGACATTTCTCCAAAGAAGATATATGAATGGCCGATATGCACATGAGAAGATGCTCAACATCACTAATTATTAGAGAAATGCAAATCAAAACCACAATGAGATACCACCTCACACCCATTAGCATAGATACTATTGGAAAAAAAGCAGCAAATGCTGGCAAAGATCTGGAGAAATGAGAACCTTTGTACGCTGTTGGTAGAAATGTAAACTGGTGCAGTCACTATATGAAACAGTATATAAAAAATTAAAAAATGAAATTACCATATGACCCAGCAATCCCACTTCTGGATATATACCCAAAAGAACTGAAAGCAGGCTCTTGAAGAGATATTTGTACACCCATGTTCATAGCAGCATTTTTCATAATAGCCAAAAAGTGGAAGGAACCCAAGTGTCCACCAATGGATGAATGGTTAAGCAAAATGTGGTGTATATATGTAATGAAATATTATTCAGCTTTAAAAAGGAAAGAAATTATGACACATGCTACAACATGGATGAACCTGGAAGGCATTGTGTTAAGTGAAATAAGCCAATACTATATGATTCCACTTACATGAGGTACCTAGAGCCATCAAATTCATAGAGACAAAAAATAGAATACAGGTTTCCAGGGCTTGAGAAAGGGGGAAATGGGGAGTTATTTAATAGGTACAGAGTTTCAGTAACCACAACATGAAAAGAGTTCTGGAGATGGATGGTGGTGATAGTTGTACCACAATGTGAATGAATGTACTTAATACAACAGAACTGTACACTTAAAAATGGTTAAGACAGTAAATTTTATGTTATGTGTATTTTGCCAGTTAAAAGTAGTCAAATAAAATAAAAAGAATGGGCTTTCTGGCATGGATTGCCTTTGGAAGTAGCTGTCTGTCTGTGCATATATGTAGGTAAGGTAATCTAGCAAAGGTAATTAATGTGTCAGATAAGGATGATTTAGATGATCCCCTATGTTGTTTCCAGGACACAGAAAACAATTGTGGCCAATATGTCAATGTGAGGTTTAATGATAAACATACAAATAGCCAGGATGGTAGCACTTCTAAATTTTGTTGTAATTTGCTGCACGAAGCACCACTGAGGCACAACTTACATCACTTGTCTTCTCCTAGCAGGCAGTTAAAAATACCGCAGTTGCTGGTTTACCTGGTCTCATTATACATTTTTCAGTCCCAGGAAATCCTGCTGAACAAAGTGTTACCCAAAAGTGTTATGCAATTTACAACTCCCAGAGGCATGCACTATGTTATGCCTTGCCTTAGAAATAGTCCTGTGTACATATATCTCCCTAATAACACATAGTTTTCCTGAAATGGGGGTTATTTTACTAATCCATCCGTTCACTGTTACTCCGACCCCTTCCCTCCTCCCCGCTATAGTATCACATTTAGTATTAACAGATAGTCTTTAAGTATATTTTATTATAATATCTATGAATGACTTTGAACCTCTAATCACTAGAATGAGAAAGCTCCTTTAATACCCTTCCCAGAAATTGCCAAATCTCAAGGCAGTTCCAAACTACCATGTGTGCCTTCAATGTCTATTAAAGACCACAGCCAAAAGTCCTCTTCGCGACATTTTTGCAATTTGACCATGAATGAGTCGGTTATAGAAGTGTCATAGGAGAATCTAAGTAATAGGATGCAAACTGGGCCCTAGTAGTGGGGGTAGTTCTAATCCCAGCTCAAAGACTAACTTTCTTTATATTTGGCCAAAAGCCTTACTTTTTGACTCAAAAATGGAGAGAAGGAGTTAACCAGGTCAGTGGTTTCCAACCTAAGGTCCCTGGTCATCTTAACAAAAAAGGTAATAAAGGGGATCCTCAAGCCAGTTTCATATTTCAAAACTTTAAGAAAAACAGAACACTGTATCATATAGCTGCCCCAGTTAGCTAAATGTTAAGTTTCTTTGCATTTCCCTAGAATTATAGCAACTAAGCACAATAACATGGTTATATGTGCTGATCAGCTCTGACACATGAGCATATATGTATGTATATGAACATGGAAAAGCTATTATTTAGTAAGTACAGTTTTTCAGGAGAAAACTCTTTGAAGTTGGGCCTTAAGAAAAAAGGTAACAGAAGGGTTTGGGAGGGTATAAAAAAGATCGTGAAGCACTGTTTTAGCTGATCTGTGGCTAAAATCCCCCGAAACTCTTCTGGGCTCCTATATCTACTTACCCCTCTTGTCTTTTCCAGTGAGGACTAGAATCTTCACTTACCTGAGATAGTGGAAACAGATGAGTAATGGACTTCTTGAACTGCTGCCCTCCTTGGGTCTAAGGACAGTTGTGAGCTTTCAGCAGCACACCCTCAATGCCTCTTACACCCATGCATTCAAACCTCTACAGGTGGAGGCCTTTGGAAAGGCAAAAAATGGCAAAGTTTTCCAAAGCCAAGCTGGTCAGCAAGCAGGCAAGTTCTTTGGAGGTTAGATGCAGCAAGTGCCACTTCGCATTTTCCAAAGCCTATGGGATAGGTGTGGCAGGTTCTGACTCCCACAGAGAAGTTGTCTGCCCAGTTTGAAGGGAAAATGGTACCGCAGCACCCAAAGTCACTCCTTAATAAAGGCAGCTTTAGCTCAGCTGTCTTTGCTATGGGGAGGGGAAAAGGGTGGACCTTGTTCCAACATTGGCTTCTAAGTATCTGGAAGCAAGATCACCCTATGTCCCAGCAAATCACATGCTTGCTGACCCTCACCTGCCTATTTCCAAACCAATTCGATCAATTGCAGAAATAAGTATCTCCCAAAAGTAAATCTTCCGGCAGGGGAGAAGGTTCTTTTTTTTTTCATTTCAGGATATTATGGAGGAACAAACATTTTGGTTACATGGGGAGAGGATTCTTTATAGAGGAATTCATTTAATTATTTCAATGTAAAATCTTGAACATTCCTAATACTGGAGTCTTCAGTGATTAACAGGCATATACACACACACACACACCCCAGCCCTGAGCAAGTGTGGATCAGACATGCAGCTAGCTGCTAGCTGACTTCTGCCTTTCTAGCCCTGAGCAAAAGAATAGAGCCTGGAACTGAAAAATTGAAACTGTCAAGAGCTTTGGAACAACTACTGCGGATTGACATTTGGCCAATGCAAAGAGAATCAAAGGCAGCAAGGGCAAGCTAGCAATGAATTAAACTGATTAAAGCAGAAGTGCAGTGATCTTCAGCAGGCTAAGGTCCGGCTTTCCAAGACCCAAGACCAAGAATAACAGCACTCTCATGTTTTACTTTATTTTTTAATCTCAGCATCATACTTTTTCACTGTGTGACCTTGAGCGAGTTGCTTAATCTCTCGGTGCTTTACTGTTTCAAATATGTTGAACTGTCCAGAATAATAAACCATCACCTCTCTTTCTCCCAGCAGGTCTTGATGATTGAATGCATGTTTGCATGTATTAAAATTAAACAATGTAACCAATATTGTGAGCAACAATTCTAGTCGTGTGTGTGCCCTTGCCTTGGAATTGGAGGGCTCTATCAGAGCTCCCCATGGTTATACAGTAAGCCATTTCAGAAGGCAACCAAACTGCTCTGAATGACTATTTCAGGAGCAGGAATCCTAGAAATGTCTACCTAGGTTTCGCTGTTGTTGTTTTGTTTCAGAAGAACAAGATCTGGCTAAAGGACAGGAACAAGCTTGCTGGGGAATATACTATGGTCCTTGTTTCCTTCTCTACTCAAGACCCTGCCTATACCATCTTAATGGCTAAATAGCAAACATGTGCCTTAAAAAATATTTAGTGGTAGGAGTTCAATGTACAAATCTGCCTTTTGAAAACAAATGTGCATATGACATTATAATGTTAAAGTAGAAAAAAGTAAGTACTTACCCCGACGTGTTATAAAAAAAGAAAAAAAAAAAAAAAGAAAAAAGTAAGATAAGGTACAATCAAAGAAACATAAAAATGGTATAGGAAAAAAGATCAGATCAAAATGTTAAAATGGGCATTTCTTGATTTCTTCATTTTTCTACTCTTCTGTATTTTACACACCATATTAAAATGGATAATTTTTATAATGAAAAATTGAAGTTTTAGGGTTATTTTGTTTGTTTTTGTTTCGTTTTGTTTTTTGCCTCGGAAAGGTTTCAAGTACCAAGTACGGGACAGGGAGTAAGGAGTCTCAAGTACAGTATTAAAGAAATGTGTGCCCTTATTAAGTCATTTCCCTTCTTTGGGCCTCTGTTTTACTTTTTCATGGAATGGGGTAGGAGTCGGGTAAGGAAGTGTCTCTAGAGATCATTCCAATTTTGCCCTTCATTGCTTTATAGCCAGAATCACTGGGTTAGCTGAGCTGCCTGCAGCCTTTGCAAATTGAAGTCTACAATAGGACGTTGAGCTCTCTGGTTTTAAGAGCCAACGATTGATGGGATTTTCCAGTTTTTCTGCAATGTGATTATATATTATTTTTATCATGAAAAAGTAATGTATATGCCATTGGTTCTAGGGCACAGAGTGGAAAAGGAGAATGTAAAAAGAAAACTAGAATAAATCCCAAAACAAGTTTTTAAGTGAAAAAAAAAAACTAGTTGCAGAATGACACATACATTAAGATATTACTTATGTAAATTTTAAAAACACACAGAACAGTTCTACACATTATTTACTGGGAGAAGGGAGAAGGGAGAGAGGGAAGCATACTCTTATGCAAAAGTAGAAAAACAAAATGGAAGAATACATACCACGTTCATCTTAGTGCTTGCCTCTGGAAATGGATGGGGAAGAATGGGACTGGAATTAGGGACAGAATTTAACTTGTCTCTAATGTTTTATTTCTCCCACTGAAAAAAAAAATCTAAAGCAAACTTTATGTTTAAAATGTTAACAGTTTGTCAATTCTGAGATCCAGGTGTGTTTTTTATATTGTTGATTCTCAGTGCTTTTCAATATATTTCTAATTATTCAAAATAAAAACATAAACAATTTCTCAAAGCAAAAGGTTGGATTGTTTCTTGTCTATATTTTAAAATATCTGTGAAATGTTCATGGGTTATTTTAATAAATGACAAATGAATTTATTCTTAAAACTGGAGAAATAGAAAAGAGAAAAAAGTAACAAGAGAAAGAAAAATCAAAGAGGGAATCACTGGCATAAGATAGAGAGAGGCCTTGGGAGCCTCGGGACCTTTTTGCCCCAAAGTAACGAACAAATTCCTATTCTAGACCATAAGCCAAGAATTTAACGAATGGACCTATTACAAGATTGGCACTCCCAGGTATTCCAGACTTCACCCCCCACCATATGCTTTAAAACCCCTCTCTGTTCCATTGATTTTCTCCGGACAGAAACTTCCAGTGAGTTTCCTCTAACTGCCTAGCCTTTCAGGGACAAATTTTCCATCTCAGCTTCCAGGGCGGCTGTTATAACGCCACAAATCACCTTCTGCCATCCCTTCTTGAGCCAAATTCCTACTGGTTTCCAGGAATCATATGGGGAGTATGGTTCTCTGAATTTATTCCTTCGCAGTACTTAGCTCACAACATTTCTTAAACTAAATGTCTTACTACAAAAGTTAAACTTGCTGAAGCCTTTTATTTTTCCCTATTGCCCTCTCCCAAGCTAAATCTCTGTCACAGCCACAAATGCCATGTTTATCCCCCAACTCTGAAGAAATCTCAGGCATCCTGGTCTCTTTGCTGCTTATGGATTGATCATTGAATCAATTTGCTTTTATCAATTCACTGGCTCCTGATTTCCCCAATGGCCCCTTTTGTCAGCCCTTTCCCCCCCCAGCCCTAATCTATAGACTCTCCTTTCTTTTTGCGGGTACCTTGAAATATGATGTTTTTCAGTGGCTCTTTTTGCCCTGACCTCCTGCTACACCCGGGGGCCACAGGCTCTCGGCTGATGTAACTAAAGTGCTGGCTCCAGACTTTGCTCTCTGAGGATAGCAGTGACCTTGCATCCAGCTGCACAGTATGTTAGGAAAACAGCTGCAGTTAAACAAGATATGAATTCCGGGCAACATCAAGGGCAAGGGTGAAGGCCCTGCTGATAAGTAAGAGGAGATAGTTTGGGAAGGTGGTCAGATGTGGGGAGAGTGCTAAATGCAAGGGATAAGCACAGGCATCACGTGTTTAGAAGTGAGAGTTCCCCTTACCTCACTGTTCAAAGAGACCACTGATAGAGAAATCTAAGGGAAGGGATCAGAGCTTGGCCTGTAATCATCATTCTGTCCCTGATATATAGTGTGGCTTTGGGAAACTCACTTAAAATTCTCTGAAACTCAATTCCTCCATCTGGAAAATGTTACCACAGTGGAAACTGTTACTGTGGGAAAAGACCTTAGAGATCATTTCTAGACCAAGCCCCCATTTCACAGTTTGAAAACTCTGAGGCCCAGGGAGGGGATGCAACTTGTCCTACATGGTCATCAATATTTACCTTTCCTAAGTCCACAAGGATGTTTTTGAGGCTAAATGAAGTCAAACATAGGAGCCCTTTGGGCCCTTTAGAAGAGAGGGGCTATGGAATCATAAGGCATTATTATTGGCAGCCTTAATGCCTGTGGTCCCTTATCATAACTGTCTCCTGAATGAAGACACACCAGTATAGGATTTTACTTTCTCAGAACTATTGAATAAATAGCTTTCTCCCTCAGCTGGCCATCTTAGCAGCGGGGATGGCAGCTCTCTACCCTACCATCCACTGCTCCCTCTCCTACCTCAGGCTGTCTCAGCTGCTTGAGCACCCTTTCTACCTGAGGGTCTAGAAACAGCTTCTCCCTGAGCATGCTCCATGTGACACCCAGGATTTCAGTGCCATAAGTAGATGACATAAGACAGGGCCTCCTTCCCAGAAGGTTATTGAGAGTGGGGTCAGAGCCATGCAGATCAGAGAAGGGCTGAGGAAGCTCAAAAGGACAGTCTAAAAGGCAAAGTAAAGAGCATACCTAGGAGTACACTTTTCCTTTCAGCACATATTATGCCAAAATAGACTTTGATTTCAAAGCGTAATTTGAGAGTGCTCTTGTCTGTATGTGGCCTTGTTGTCTGAGGCAGGCCTGTAGATACTTCAGTCTAATAAACTGAATTTTCAGAAAACAAAGGAATTCCATTCCTGGTGTTAAATGCATCCACTTTAGGCATCCATTAGCCAATGGTACTCAGTGCTGGAAGGTAAGTCATACCTGAGGGTAGAACATTAAAGGTAAAAATCAAAGGGAAGAGATTAATTCACCTACCTACTTTTCAGCATCTTTCAGTGGTCGGCTAGAAGTGACCCTGACTTAATGAGTCATGAATTACTAGGGTCAATAATATCATGACATCACCACCTTATTTGGACAATAAACAAATGAACCTTTCTCTTTATGCAGGTGCTAAATCTATGTAAGCCTAGCTACTAAAACATTATTGAACTAGAGCCAAAAAACAGTGGCTTATAGGAAAATGGTAGAATCAGTGGCAAGGAAGGCTGATTCCAGTTCTTTTCCCAGCTCTGTTCAGCAATATCCTTACTCTTTGGCCCCTCAGCACAACTAGTGAACACCATCTTCAAAAGTCAAGTGGCATATTTGGGCCTTCTTGAGAGACAAAGTGACAAATCAAGATTTTGGTTACTCCCACTACATACCATCGTCATATCTCTGAGTAACAGAGTAGGCACACTAACATCTTCCCCACATATATATATATACTGGAAGGATCTTGGTGAGCCATGATCTGGGATTTTATAACCAACACCTTAGTCTTCAGTTAGAAAGCATGCCTCTTTCTTTACAGCCTAACTCCCAAACTGCTTCTTTCTCAGGTGAGTGTATGTTTCTGTTGAGTTTTAAGTCAAGCCATATAGATCTGAAAAACCCACTATAGCACAGGCACAATTCCCCTTCATTTCACCTATTTTGATAAATAGATTTGACTGTGTCATTTATGAAACATCTCAACATGTCAAGGTAACAATTTTGCACATATAGGTCTTACTATGGGAAAAGGCAATATTACCTGTATACATACATACAACACACATTCAGTAGACACTGAATATACCTTGTCCCTTGCCAAGAGATACAGTGTATAGGCAGCTCATAAATAGAAGCACATAGAGATGTATATACAAATACAGAAAGCCAGTAAGGGAAAATGTAACTAAACTGCCCCAAGGGGAGACTGAGAACACTGAACCTACACTGAGTACACTCCCACTAGTCTAAGCAAAGAGAGACTTGAGAAGGGAACAGTTATTCCAGTGTACAAAGAAGCTGTGTAACAGCATCTACTAACTCTCTAGGCCTTGGACAAAACGTGTCAACAAGCCAACACAGAGCTCTGTGAAGGACAGAGCTGTTTCACAAATGCCCCCCAGCTGGCTGAGCATGCTAGAAGCCTCAAGGACTAGAATATCAAGGCCACCAAGATGCCAAACAAACGCTAAATTCCATAAACCAAATGAATACCCTTTTCATGACCTAGTTTTTTCTGTTAATATTTCCTCAATCAATGGTTACTTCAGTCATGGAGGTGAAGTTTGTTGCTATAAATTAACTATCCCCCAATAGGAAAGACTTTCCCTCTATCCAAATGGAGTGGTACTAGAATCTGCAGCATGCCACACTACCTCTCTTACAGGGCTGAGAGGAAGAAACTTGATTAATACTATGGATACCAACTCTGCTCTATTGGATCCATAATGACCAGCTAAGTTCCCTGTGCCCATATTTCTCTACCAGTCATAGCACCTCAGGTTTTGGATCCAAACCCTAGCCATGGACCTTGGATCCAATAACTAGGTCCTCGTCTTATTCTACCTGTGCCACAGTAACCCCAAACCTCAATTACTGTAGGGTCAAACTCCTTTGTTGCTCCCTCCCCCAACCTCAGTCTTCTAGAACAGTGAT